TCCCCTCCCACTGCCACTCCCCTCCCCTCCTCTCCCTCTGCCCACCCACCAGCACTGCCATTTCCCCCCCTGCTGCCTGCCACTGCCACCACTTCCCCTGCCCACCGCCGCTTCCCTACCTGCAGAGCCAGGGTCAGGGCCATCCCATGGGCAAGGGTGGAAGTACAGCATGCACTGCCCACGCAGGAGTGAGCAGGGGTTCGCCCCATGTGAGCACAGCAGGGGCAGCCCATGGCCGGGCCAGATACAGTGAATTAGCAGGCACCATGGGCTGGATGAAATCGCCTGGCAGGCCAGATCCAGCCTGCCGGCCATATTTTGCCCACCCATGCTATAACCTATTTGGGATGGAGATCTATTGTATTAATTCAGGACAGCTCAAAGAAAGTAAGAGAGTTGTTTCAAGTCGCATATCTCAGGTATCACAGAGGCATATGAGGGTTTGCCCCTTGGCATTGCAGAAAGAGATGATAATATAAAATAACAACTATACAAATGGAGCCTTCCTCTTTTCCAGCTTTCAGTGCTGGTCAGTAGTATTAGCCATTAATGCCACAATCACAGTGCCATGGTGTGAGGTAGTGGAGTGGACATAACTAAAAGGGAGGCACTGCCAGAGTGGACACACACCAGGGAACAGTCGTCAGAGCACAGGCCAGCGTATTGCTACGAGAATCACCTCATGTCTGTAAAGAAACAATACAGAGAACGAAGACAAATCAGGCTTTGTCCAGACAGCTAGAAGCAAAGCTGATGGACAGATGGGCAGACAGCTAACAGATAACCAGCAGATAGATTGGCTGGGACATTTGATAGATGAATGCTGCAGACTGAAAAGAGAGAGAGAGACAGAGATTGACAACTTCCCATTTTCATTCTCAGCACCAAGGGTTATTTTTCGAAAGACATGAAGAGCCTCTGATCTTGTGATACAAATCATACCCCAAAGCAAGCCTGGCTGTTTCCCAGAGGCAGGTATGCAGAGCAATAAGCAAGCAGCCAGCTAGCTGACCCCAGCATTCACAGAAGTTGGGAAGCTCAATACAGAGAATGTCTGAAGCTCAAGCAAAACAAAGCAGCACGAGCTTCATCACTCCCCTCGCCCGTACCGCAGTTCCTCAGAAAGCAGAAACAGGGAAAGCATGCAAGTCTGTCCAGAGCTCATAGCGAAAGTGGGTGCAAAGCAGGTTTGTTTTCCCTCTTCACAGGGGCCCTGGATATTGCTCATAGTCCTGGAGTCACACCTGAACAATGAACCCTTTCCTTTGGAAACCACCTGACCTCTCTCAATGGCAGGTATCCCTAAAAACTCTTCCCCCGGAGGGCACCTACAATTTAAACAGAGAGGTTATCTTCCCATCCCCTAGCCTTGACACTCGCACAGGAAACAGAGTAATAGGAACAGAACTCACAAGGCCTCATCTGCCTTTTCACCAACCCCCCTGCACAGCTCTGGTAGTGTAAAATGGTCTCAAAGTGGATGTGAAAGTAATTATTGTATAAAAGAGCCTTAGGCTAAGTCTCTATTATGAAGTTTGGCTGGCATAGCTATAATGGCTAGCAGGTGTTAGAAAAAACAATTCACCTCAGCTGATATAACTGTACTACAAAAAGCCCTGTTTGGACATTTCTAAGCTGACAGAGGAGGGTTTCTATCATTTGAAAAGCTGGTGCAGCTATGCTGGCAGGAAAGCTCCTGCTGCCATATCTTCCACCTTGATGGTGGCACAATACTGACACAGCTACGACAGTAACAGCAACAGTAACAGTGTAGGTAAGATTTTAGTGCAAAGGCGAGTGAGATCCACAGGCAACAGAACCTGTGCCATATCAAAGGGAATAGTTCAGAGGCCAAATCTGTTTGGCCTGGCACAGAAAGAAAGATTGTCCATGCTTTGATCTTCGTCTCTAGAGACATTGCACTCAACCATGCAAAGCGTGGATTTAAGAGCTAAAATTGGGCCTTGGCTCCCCACCCCCAGAACTCCCCTGGGGACCTCCAAATGCCCAGCCTGCCAGACATTGCTCCCTGGGGGCCAGAAAGGGAAAACTTTCTTCACTCCCACTCTCCATCACTCCAAGACTTCCCCAGCTCAGCTGCCGATCCATCTTCACTTCTGAGTCCTACTTAATTACTAGTACAAGGGACGAATCTAATTAAAATTTAATTTACAGCTCAACCTGAAGTTATTAAAATACAAGCTGAATCCTGTCAAAATTAAAAAAAGAAGGAAATAACTTGTTCGTGCTGCATAATGCCCCTTGGTGTTTGTCGGGAAACAGAAGGCGACTTGGGGCACTTGGGGATGGGCTTTGTCACTTAGTCAGGCTCATCTGCTCAGAAATTCAAATGCCACCAAATGTATTGCCTCAGCTCCCACTGCTGTAAGAATTCGCTGTTTATTAAAAGACCAGCAACAAACAGTCTCACAGTTTGGCTGTGACGGGAGGTTTCAGCAACAGGCCCTCCTTTGTTCCCCACAAGGCTAGGATGTGCTGAAACCATCCAGATCCAAACCTGCCATCTACAGAGGAGAAGTGGATCTAGTCTTTGTGCTTGTTCGAGCCTAGCTGCCCCTAAACAGCTCTATGAAAGGATGCAGACCAAGAGGCCCCATTTCTGGGGTGAGGAGGGGATCTAGTTTCAGGTGTGCAGGCAACTAATCACCTGCTTCTTGAGATAACGTTTCATTGATAGTATAGGCTGACACAAGTGTAATTTATGCCAAATTCAGTTCTAAACCACCTGATGAACTGGAACCAGCAACTTCTCAGGCTTCAGTGTTTATAAAATACCAGAGCAAATGAGGGAATGTTCAAGTCTCTTCCACATTTTATAGGATCTTATCCCATACCTGAGCTCCCCTTGCCTCTGATCTTTCATTACCTCGGGCTCGTACATAAACGGGGGACCAAACTCTGCAGTCCTTGCTCAGATAATACCTCCAGTTCCTGAATATGGACAGTCAGATTCTGGCCAGGGAAGGAGAGGAAGAGGGAAGAGAGATATTAAACAAGAGGCATGGGAGAGAACAGAGAAGAGTTAGAGTCAGACTCTATGGAGCGTTTGCCACCTTTCTCTACCTGGTGGACTGGTGCCTTCTGGCAACATGTGTACATGTCTATAAAGCTGAAATGTTATTGGAAAAGCCAGCAGGGGAGCAGGAGACCAATCATCCTGACAGATGCTCCCTCTTCGACCTGGCCCTTAGAAACACACAGCCAACATCTCTGCTTCCGGACAAGGACACGCACGCAGCGCATCTATTGAAAAGATGCTTAAAGCAGTAAAGAGAACAGTACAAGACTAGATCTGAAGCAGTAACTCTCCACAAACACGCAATGCTTTACTCTGGATTGATGGCTAGTACTACCGATTTGGGGGAGGGGGAGAGGGGGGGAAAGGAGGTTTTGGCCTATCTGGGTACTTCAGTAGCATAAGGATTGTTTAACTACAAGGTTGCTAGTTCAAATCTGATCAGGGCTAGCAGGGTCTGAAATATGTTACCCACTGATGGCTGTTCAGTAGCTAGCAGGGATTTTAGCCTTGTTCTCAGTACACAGGTTTCCTCCATCACAAAACCCCTCACAAAGCAAGGCTGATACTGACTGGCAGGCTCAGGAGAGAGGCCAAAGGCTGAGCAAGACTGAACTCCTTCCTTGGCCCTACAATCAGAGCAGTCTGGCAA